GAGAGAGAGAGAGAGAGAGAGAGAGAGAGAGAGAGAGAGAGAGAGAGAGAGAGAGAGAGAGAGAGAGAGAGAGAGAGAACTGAGGGGGCCAGGAGTGGGGTATTGAGGGAAGGTAGTAGGAGAGTAGGCAATCTCTGTTTGTTGTACAGGTGGTAGTTTGTGTTTTCTTGTGCCAAAGATGGCTGTAAGGGAGCGAGAGGAGATGGAGAAGCGGCACTTGCCACGGCAGACACACGTGAGGCGCGGGCAGAGTGTGGATTCACCAACAAGCACTCAATGCGAACTTAACCCGATTCCCTGTGGGCGATCTCACACACTTAGCTGGACATTAGTAGTAACTGCCGCCGAGTACTCAGCTTCTGAATGAATGTCTCAGAACTGGTAGTGGGTGGACACCAGCCTTAGGGGAGCGGGAAGCTAGCCCCCAGAGTAGGTACTGAAGAGAAGCCAAAGAAGGTAGCGCTTCAGTTTCCGATTCTTTATCCTTGGGCACCGACCGCAGTCTCGATGAAGTTTCATAACCTATTGGTGGAACTGGATGCTCATGGCACGACTGACACAGGTCATGAGTTCGATCCTGTGCGGAATCAGATGGATATTAAGCTATTGGTGGAAGTGGATGGTAGTCCACCACCTGGCCCATGTGGCTGAATGACACGTCTGATACAGGTCATGAGCTCGCTTCCTGTGCTGAATCAGATGGATAGAACAAGGATAGGGGCTATTCTCTTTTAAATGGAAGCTAGACCACAAGTCTGAGAGTGGATAGCGAGAAGCCAAGAAATGTACTAGGTGTGCCCATAAGTAAAGAGCTGTTGAAGCATTAAGGTCCGATTGTTCAGCCGTGAGAACTGTGCTCGATTGTCACTTTTTTGTACTACGCAGGGGCCATGCTAATCTTCTCTGTATCGTAACTATCGTTCCAATTTTAACGGAGTGTCTGGAACGACTGTGCTATGTTTTTTTTTTCTTCTTTTTTTTGGCCTAACTGGTGAACCTGGATGCTATAGTCCACCCCCTGGCCAATGCAGCTGCATGGCACGCGTGACTGTTAGTAAACAGGTCATGAGTTCGATTCGTGTGGGAAAGCAGATGGATAGAACAAGGATAGGGGGCTACCCTCTTTTAGATGGAAGCTAGACCACCAGAGTGGTTAGCGTGAAGCGGAGAAGTAGAGGTGTTTTTTTTACTTTTTTATTTTATTTTTATTTTTTTTATTAACCCGTCGTGACAGATAGGAGTGATGGTAAGAGCATACACTCCTACCTGCCACACACGGAGCTCCAGTCTATTGGTGGGAAGCATCACCTGCTGAAAAATGGGTCCAGCGTTCCCAGAAATACAACAGAATTGCTAAAAAGCGGAGAAGTGGAGTACGTGTCTAGTAGTAAGCAGTTGAAAGATCAATGCCCAGTTGTTCAGCCTTGAGCAATGTGCTCCTTTGTCTATGGTTTTCTTTTCTTTCTTTTTTTTTCTTGACTTGATACGGCTCTTGCCCCACCTATTCTTTGGGGGTGGCAGTCTGGTTGGTTATCACCCGAAAGCATGCTACAAACAAAGTACAAGACAAAAGTCGGGGACGTAAAGAGAGCCCTAGTCGGCCACCCTTGTGGGCTATCATAGGCGGATAGAAGACAGCATGAGGTGTCTGCCTGTCCATCCACCCGTACCCGGGGAGACACTCTGCGTACCCAGTCGCTCAGGGACCATGTGCGTCAAAAACAACCCCCCCTACCACCCCTCAACCCACCCACACACTGAGAATAGTTAACCGAATATGCTTGCATGCCACTTCTGCCAATTGGCCGCGCCTCAGTTACAGCGGTTGCAAAATCTCTTGTTGTTAACCCTTTCACATACACACCGTCTTCACCTGAATAAATCGCCCGATCGTTATTGCTGCATCTGGTCTGAAAGTTGCCCCAAATGCAGCTTTAATGACCGAACGTTCTATTCGGGTGAAGACGATAGGTTCCACACATACCCGATTGTATCCTATTTCCTTTTTTTTTCTTTTTTTGAATTTCATGAGCACCTATCCCCATTAGTCAAATGTGTACCCCAGAGAACAACGCTAGTGGGTGGCGACACCACCCTTCATGTACATTTCTCCACAGCCCCACTCTCCGTTGAAGTGCCTGGTGTAAGTCCGTGCAGCGGGCTGAGCGGGCACATGGATACCCTATCAATGTACACCCACACACCCCTGCTCTGATTATATAATCAATCACTCCCAGTGCCAATTGGATTACCCTAAGTAACTTTGTTGTTTCCCTTTTGGGCCTTTTCCCATCCCCACACCGCTGTTCTATTTTTTTTTTTTTTTTTTTTTTTTTTTTTTTATAAAGAAAATAAGAAAGGAAACAGGTCCTTATGGCTCTGGCTCCATATCTACTCTGGGGAGCATCAGTCGGATACCCCATACTGCTGTTCTACCAGCTCAACCCCACACTTTTTTGACGTCTTAGCACACTTTTCCTCGTACTCCCTTTTAAATTTTAACCACTACTCACGTAGTAACTAACCTAATCCAATGTTCCTGTACGATGTCTAGAGCCTTTTACATAGGTCTTAAGGGTCCGGCATTGTAGAGAGGGCCCTTGCTTTTCATTTCAGGCAGGCATGTGAGCATTTTGTCAGTTCTTGATTCCAGGCGTGTGTACTTTGTCTGTTCTCAGTCCAGTCTTCTTTGCTCTTGATTTCAGGCAGGTGTATGAGTATTCTGTCTGTTCTGAGTCCAGGCCTGTGGGTATTTGGTCTGTTTTCAGTCCAGATTCGTTCATCTTTCTTTGATGTCGATTCTGCATATTGTGTTGCTCTGTCAGTGCAGTTTTCTTTCACGCCAATCTATTTTGTCCGGTTCTGGATGACCGCCCAGACTTTGGGATCACAAGTTTACTAGCTGTGCTCGTTTTAAGGCTGGGCCTGTGTCCGACTTTTGTAACAGGCCTTTCTTTCCTTCTAGGCCCTCTTGGACCCCCTGTCCAGCAGGTGTTGCTCCCCACCAATAGATGGAGCCCTCCCGAGACTGCTAGTGGTGTCTGCTCCTATCAGCACCCCTAGCATCAACTTGGGTTGTTTTYTTKTAAAAAAAAAAAAAAAAAAAAAGAGACAGCAAGGGAGGGCCTAGACCTGAGCAGCGAACCAGGCCGCTTCATGACCTCCCTTCTGGACCCCACCCTACCTGACTGAGATTGGACGGCCCAGATGGAGGCCGACTTGAGATGGTGGCCAGCTCAGTAGTTGGTTGGTAGGTTCTGACTTCATTGGCATGCCACCAGGCTGCCCAGTTGAGCAGCCCAGCGCTAGTGGAGGTAAAGGAGCAGCGTTAGAGAAGATAGAGAAAAGCAGAGGAGGAGGAGGTAAGCATGGAGGAGTCCACTCACCTGGCACCTTATCCTGGAGGTCTTCTGCGAGCCATAGCTGGTGTTTCTTTTTCGAGACACCTGCAGTACATCAGCGGCTCAAGGCTCTGCCTTTCACAGGAGAGAGAGAGAGAGAGAGAGAGAGAGAGAGAGAGAGAGAGAGAGAGAGAGAGAGAGAGAGAGAGAGAGAGAGAGAGA